AACCTCTTCTATAGAAGAGGTTAGAACTGGCAGGAACCCACCCCTGCTTTGGAACCTTCTTGGAACTGCTAAAGGACTGTGTTGTAAATAGGAGATAGGTGATGTCATATCCCCTCCCCTCTCTGTTGAGGGAGGGCTGTTCAACCTTAATGTAGGTGGAGTCTGACTCCTCTTTCAAACTCTCTGTCCACAATGTGGACTTTTCTGCCTTCAAAAGAGTGTCATTTGTCTTTCAAATGGAGATGGACTGCTGAATCTTGTCCTGATGAGTTTGTTCTCCTATCTTGTGCCATATGCATGGTGACTCTCAGAAAGAGTGGTAATGACCAGATAACTGCAAGGTATATAAATCCTTCCATCCTCCACCTTCTGACAAGCAAAGTCAGAAGGTAGATTTATTTAACAACAGTGTTGCTAGCTTAACGACTGCAGGGATTCACTTAACTGTGAAGAGAAAGGTGATGAAATGGGACAAAGCTCACTTAAGAAATGTCCTGTTTCGTAATGGAAATTTTGGGCTCAATTGTGGTCAGAGGTTGAGGAGTACCTGTATTTACAGCTGCTAACCAAGAACAAGTTATCCCTCTGTCTCCCAAGGTCATTGCCACAGATCATTGCCAACAGGGGTCCTCTTGGAAGTGTTACAGGAAAGAGGTCTTGATGGGTAGGAGGTGGGCTGTGAGTGGATGATCTCTGCACGTTCATGTCTTTTAAGGGGAAGCAAAGTGAAAATAAAGAAGTCCAAGAACTTTTGAAGGGTCATTTAAAAAACCGAGAGGGCATAATGGCTCAAGACTCTGAGTTTGTCAATTGGAAAGCTGACAGCTGGGGTTTGAGACACAAGCGCCACATGATGAAGTGAGTTCCCATCCTCACCTCAGCTCCTGCTCACCTAACAGTTTGAAAACTTGCAAAAGAAAGTAGGTAAATTGGTAGCACTTCGGTGGGAAGGTCACACCATTGCATGCACCTTGGTATATAGTTATGCTGGCCACACAACCATGGAAGCAGGGGTGGGATTTGCACCGGTTCAGGCGAACCAGATGTTAATGTTACATCTGGTTCATCAAACCGGTAGTTGCAAGAACTGACTGGGCCTGTCCACCCCTCCCCGCCCTTCCCAGGAGTCTCCACCTGGCCAGTTCATCATGCCAAGTAAGTGCAGGGCCCACACAGAGGCTCTGGGAGGGTGAAAAATGAGCCTACTGGAAGTCTGGAAATGGGCTCATTTCCGGCCTCCGAAGGGCTTCTGGAGCCCGGGGAGGTTGTTTTTGCCCTCCCAGAAGCTCAAAGAAAGCCTCTGGAGCCTGNCTCCTCCTCCTCTCCTTCTCCTTCTCCTTCTTCTTCTTCCAACTCCCTCTCCTTCTTCTGACTGCTTGAATGAAACCACCTTCTTAGCTTTGTCATTGGCCAATAAGTCATTATCCTTTTTGGTACACAATACCGACCTACCACCAGATCAGCCAGGTTCTGCGTCTCTTCCCATTCACACATTTTTTCATCCGTTAAGAGTCTCCACCTGAGCATACTGATTTTACATTTAGGGATTCCACTCCTTAACTTCCTCAGGGTCCTCTAAGTAATACAATGTCAGTTCAGAGGATGTCAAGGATCATTCTTTTGCTTACTTCTTTCAGCATCTGCAACTACCTCTCTTCTGGTCAAGATTGTCCCAAAGGTGCTTTTTTTCAAGAGCTGAAGAAGCTTCTTGTATGAGAAGTGAAATGTCTTCAAAGAAAAGCAAGAAAGTCCAGTTGAAAAAAGCACCTTTAGGATTACTTCTCTCCTAATCTTAGGTGGGGCAATGCCAGCGAGAGGATATATTTTCTCAGTCGATGTGGGTTTTAGGTATCCTGTCACTAAGTGCACTGCTTCATCAACAGTGATGACAAATCAGCGACCAATAGAGACATAGACATTAACAACATCTATAGACTATGCAGAAGAAACGATCAACCAGCCCAAAAGAGAACAAAAAGACTCCAGCAACTCTCCACCAATAATAGCAATAGCACTTAGACATATATACTGCTTCACAGTGCTTTACAGCCCTCTCTAAGTGGTTTACAGACCTAGCCTATTGTCCCCAGCAATCTAGGTCCTCATTTTACAAACCTCAGAAGGCTGAGTCAACCTTGAGCTGGTGACAATCAAATTGCCAAACAACTGGCAGTAGCCAGTCAGCAGAAGTATCCTGCAGTACTGCATTCTAACCACTATGTCACACTTAATCAGCAACCAGATCAACATAGATTAACTGGAGACTGGACAGTTATCTGTCAAAAATGGGCTGTTGCCCCAGCTCAGCTCTGCCACGCATCCGTGCACGTGTCTCCCGCCAGCCAGCTGGTCTTTGGGTCTTTGCCATGTATGCGTGAGGACAAGGTGCATGCGTTGGGGATGGCGCACACGTGAGGGTGATGGGGTGCGTGGGAGACGTGAGTGCATTGCATTTTGGGGGTGTGCACATGCACACTTTGGCACGGTGCCAAAAAGGTTAGCCATCACTGGTGTAGGGTCTGCTTGGGCAGGGTGTGTGTGATGGACTAGATGACCTACAAGATCCCTTCTGTTAATCTGTATCTGTATCTGTTCTGACCCCCTCCTCTGTCCAGTAACAAATGCTGAGACAAGCTTAACTGGAATGTACTTTATTAGCAAGAAACCAA